GGAATCGAACTGCTGTTGCTCAGAGCTCGCACTCTTGAGTGAGCTCTTAACCAACTGAGCCACTCGGCCGGCCCCATGACCAGGATCTTTTTACCAAGATACTGATATTGCTAATACATAAGGAGAAAGTTACTGATTTTGAGGGTAGAGCTGGTCAAACTCATACTCTTCCCTTCTGCTTTTCAGCTGACTCTTTGATATGCCATCATAACAACTGAACTCTGCTTTTAAAGAAGTATGCCTCATAACTTTTTCTTGCCTAATATGTTGGCTAAACTTTCCCAAACATAAGTTTGGGGCTTCTACTAGTCTGCAGGTCTCTTTAGTCAAATAACTTAAAACATATGTTTCTTAGGTAAAACTGTTGGTATCAACAAGGATAGACGTCTGCAATATATTTTTGCCAAGAGAAAAAAAAGTAGGTTACAAAACACTATTGTACACTATGATCACATGCATGTTTAAAAAATCATATACTGTAAGTAAAAAAGCAAGGTCCAGAAAAGTGCACAATACGCTTTTTGTATAAGAAAAGGAGGGAAATAATACACATATTTTTGCATAAAGAAACCCTGGAAGGAAACACCAGAAACTAATAAAAGCGATTACCTGAGGTAGGGGGGAATGGGGGCAGGGGTGGGAGCACTTCTTTTCACTGTATACCTTTTTATAGTATTTTGATTTATGGACCATGTATTGCCTAGTCAAAAAAATAAAATTAAAAAAAAACATATAGTATATACTTTTAAAGTCCAGAAAAACAGACACCAAACTATTTAGTATTTCTCTTTACGGACTAGCATTTGACAAATTCATTCACTGAAAAAATATTTATTGAGCACCTATGTTCCAAGTACTGTTCTAGCATTTGGGACACATCAAGAAACAAGAGAAAGATCTCTGCCCCCATGGAGCTTATAGCCTTTTATAATATTTTTATATTGTTTAAATATCTAGTAGTGAGCACACATTACTCCCGCTTCTCCAAGCTGTCTCATACTGGGCAAGTTCCTTGACCTTTCCAGGCACCAGTCTCTTCATCTGATAAGGTGTGGATAATGCCACCTACTATGTAGAGATTATCATGAGAACGATGACACAATACTCGTAAATCAGTGAGCTCAGTACCTGATACAAAATGACTACTTAGTAAGTATTAGCTGTTATGATTTAACCATATTTTTAGAGTGATTGTAAAATGTTCAATGAGGGGTAAGGAATGTACAGTGAACAGAAAAGTGAGGCCACTGGGCTCATCCCGGTCTGTGCTCTTCACCACCACCAGCGGGCAGGCTGCAGCACTTGTCTGCTGATACTATCACTGTCTCATGTACCTTTTCTCTCCTCCAGCAGACTATGAGCTCCCTAAGTGGAGAAAATGCACCTTATTTATCCTATTGTCCCTGGAACCTAACACAGTACCAGGCAATACACGCTCAGTAAGTATTTGTGAAAATGAATACACAGGTCGATGTGGTCATGGAAAGTCTCACAGAAGAAACGAGACAGGCTGGATGGGCACAATCCGAACTCAAAAGTGAAGGAATTATCCCATTTTTTTTAACTTTCAGTTACCTGACATTGTATTTTTTTTTTTTTTTTGGTCCAAATCTAGAAGGAGCTGTGATAAATACCTGTTGTTTTCTGAGGAAATAAGCCTTTGAAGCTGCCCTTTATATAACCACCAGCAGGGGGATCTACAGGCTGAAGACAGCCCTAGAGCTACTAAAAAGAGGTCATCCACACACAGTCTTATCGGTAACGGCAGTATTTTAGGATAGGGTGGAGTATGAATCTTCAGAATTGAATCCCCTCACAACCACCCTCCTAGGAAGATTCTGATATAGCTATCACTACAGTTGAGAGACCCCTCACCCCCTAACACCCTCTGAGCTAAACGCTTTAATTCTCCAAAAACACGAATAGAGAATAGTGAAAAGTGGGAAGTGACATGATACCAATCAATGTCAGTGGCAGAAGACCCTTAACCAGTCTTAAAGCTACCCTTCCCAGACCATCACAACAGCTTCCAGTGTTCTCAGAAACCTACTAACCATTAACAAGTACTAAAAGGCACTAGACTCTTCCTCTATCATTAGCAACATGAAAGAAAATTGGAGAATGAAAACAAGCAGACTTTCATGCTCTTCCTAAATTTTGTTTAAGATCAGATTATATTTCTGACCCACCTCTAAGATTCTGCAACACGAGGTGCTGAGCCACTAATTTCACTCCAGAACAATGGCACACCTTTCTAAGATGATAGTGGCTCTTTATCAGAGTTTCTCTGAAAATTAAGTAGTTCCTACAGAATTTTGAGTTCATTAACATGCTCTAAGTAACAGGGCTAAAGTTTTAACAGATTTATGTTCTCAAATATTACACTAAAAAACAAAACAAAAAACAAACACACCCATCTGTTTCATTTCCCCACCTCAAAACACTTTCTCCTTTTTAAAATGAGACTAGGTTATCTGTGATCAGCATATACTCTCAAGTAGCCTTGTTTTATTTACTCAAAATGTAATCGAAGACTGGGGGCCGGCCAAGTGGCGCAATGGTTAAGAGCTGGCTTGGGACGCCAGAGGGCCCCGGTTCGGATCCCACATATGAGGGCCAGTGACACTGCCCTCTACACCTAAGATGCTGAACAACAGCTCAACCTGGAGCTGGGCTGCCGTGAGTTGCCGGCGACAGCATAGGCTGCAGCCCCTGCTGCAGTGGGTTGCCATAAGCTACCATGTGTGGCCAGCAGCCAGCATGAGCAGCCAGCAGCCGCCGTGAGCGGCCCTCCAGAAGCCAGCGACTGATCTGCCTCGCCCGTGAAGAGCGCAATGATGGTGCCAACTTGGGCTAGTGAAGCGACATCCTCCACAACTAGACTGAAGAACAAAAGGACAGCAACTTGTCTGTTCCCCTTTCCCCCAATTCCCCAGTGCTGTTCCCATCCCCCCCAATTCCCCAATAAAAATCTTTAAAAAAAATAATCTAACAAGACTGAAAAAATTTTAACATATATTTAGTTTTAAATCATTCTTTAAATTATTCATAAAAATACGTTTGGCTGAAATGAAGAAAGATGAGAATACTGGTATTTTCAAAAGATGTTATACATGATTCCAAATTACCAAACATTACAGGTATTTACTTATACCCACTTAAACTAGCTCTGTGAGATTTTCTTCCAAAATAATCAGTTTTAACCAATTCAAAAAATATTCTTTCTTTGTATGTTTTATGTTCCCTTATCATATTTTTTAGACTACTTTAGTTAATAAATAGGTCAAATCCAAAAAGCCAATAGCCTATTTAAATCCAGATTTAAATGCCAATGCACGACCACTCCCAAAAATCTACATTTCCAAAGCAGTAAGTTTTTTTCTTATAAATATTATCAGTATCCACACAAATTAATTCTAAGTCAATAAAAAACAGAGGGGACAGGATGAAGAAAACAAAGAAAGTTATAAGAAACAGGTTACCTACCATTACTCTGCAGTGTTAATCCTGAGAGATCTTAAGTTTTTTAAAGGAGAAAAAAAAATGAAACATTTATCATTACCATGAAAATGTTTTTCATTATACTTAAAATTACAAAATGTAAATATAAGCCAGATTAAAAAATTCATGAACCATTTCAAAAACAGCAGTATAAATGCTATCTGGCAATATATAAAGTATTAAATTCTATCGTGCTTTTCATCTTATTTTTCAAAAACAATATTCTAAATGGGTAAAATACCAACTATATATACTTAGTTTTAGCAGTCAAAATACAAGTTTGTTGCAAAGTTCAAATTCAAATATTTATATTTCATTAAAAATGTCTTAGTTGTAGTCCTGGGCCATATCCAAATTTATAATTTAACTTAAAATTTAAATACTATTGAGATCTTTCCCCTTTGTGCTTCTAAGAGAAAAGCAAAGTCTACTTACCAATTCCAGGTGATACAACTCGTTCATAGTGATATGGATTCACACAGACACTATCACATTTTAAATCAAATGCATACTGACAATATTTAACATGTTTTAGTTCATTTTTGTGAAGATCAGGCCACCTCCATAGACGGGCATAGATCACATGAGGAAATCCTTTCCGACCAGCCACCTAGGAAAAACAAATGACCATTTACTGAGCATCAGTTATGTATCCCACATTATGCAAGGTACTTTATACATGTTCTCATTTAATCCTTACAATTCTACAAAGTCAGTATTATAATTCCCATTTCATAAATGAGAAAAACTAAAGCTCAAAATAACTTATTTGGCCATGGTCATAAAGCAGTGGACTTAGGTATGATTTCAAGGCCCGTGCTTGGGTTTCAAAAATGCAAAGAAGCATGAGTTTGTTGCAGAAACTATGCCTAAAATCTAGAAATAAAATTTTAAATCTAATGACATAAAATTTCTGTTTTCTAGGGCCGGCCGAGTGGTGCGATGGTTAAGAACTGGCTTGGGACGCCAGAGGGCCTCGGTTCGGACCCATATATGAGGGCCAGTGACACTGCCCTCCACAGCTAAGATGCTGAACAACAGCTCAACCTGGAGCTGGGCTGCTGTGAGTTGCTGGCGATGGCGTAGGCTGCAGCCCCTGCTGCAGTGGGCTGCCATGGGCTGCCGTGGGTAGCCAGCAGCCAGTGTGAGTGGCCGTCCAGAAGCTAGCGACTGATCTGCCTCTCCCAGGAAGAGCGCAATACTTGGGCCAGTGAAGCAACGTCTTCCACAACTAGACTGAAGAACAAAAGAACAGCAACTTGTCTGTTCCCCTTCCCCCAACCCCCCAGCGCTGTTCCCATCCCAATTCCCCAATAAAAATCTTTTAAAAAAAGAAAAATTTGTTTTCTAAAAAATATTAAACGCAGGGCTGTATTATGTAGTTCTACATGAAAAATGTAACCAATCAAAATGAAAGGTAGAGAAAATTTGTAAAATATAGTTTTAACTCAAGTTTTAAAGATACGCTTGAATTCTTCTAGATTTTTTTTTCATATAACAGTACCAAATATACAATATCAGATTTCTAAATTATAAAAGGACTAAGTATAACAGTTTTTTAAATGTGCATGTAACACCAAAAAGGGGGAAAAAAACTGAAAAAAAAGAAAAGGATGAATACCAAAGTGCTAAAGGTATGAGTTTTCTTCTGCTTTTTACGGTATGTTCAAAATTTTCTATATTCAACTTTTTTTAGTCAAAACATTAAAAAAAAATTCTTAAGATATAGCTTTATTATATGGAAGACATATTCTTCTACATATTCCCATAATGTGTATTGGTACAGGATGTACAGTATCTAAAGAGATGGAGAAAGGGTTAAATTATCCCAAAATAACTTAAGAGAAAACAAGAGTTACTTTAATCTGCCACTACAAAAGGTATTAAAAAACTCTAGTACAAGACTAACCTGAAGCCTTCCATCCAATGTTCTCTGTATGGTAACACATTTGCTAGGATGAGCTCCATTTGTAGTTATAGCTGTTATTAAAGAATCCAATTCATCTTTTTTCTCCTTCAGTTTCTTTACCAAACTTTCAATTGCTCTTTTTGCAAATGTTTCACTCTCTCCACCTTGTCTATGGCACATCAAACTATGTACAATGCTCAGACAGGCATCATTACTTGTTGGTGTATTCGTAATAGACATATTGTCCATTTGTTAAAGATATTTCTTTTAAATCAAATATGTCTCCAACTTCCAGAGCAATTTTGATCTTTCGAAGGCAGGGAAAAATACTGGCTAATGTTGCAAGGAAAACTGTTAGACATGTGGTACTCAGGATAACCTAAAAAAAAAAGAGACACAGGTATTAGAATACATTTTACAAAGTAGATTCAATTACTTGGGAAACGACAGAATTTTCCAGTTAACTCAGACTCAATTCGAATCACAAAATAAAAATCTGGTGCTTAGATTTTTAAAGACTTAATTAAAATGTTGCTGTTTTGGGGCCAGCCGAGTGGCTCAGCTGGTTAAGAGCGCGAGCTCTGAGCAACAGGGTCACCGGTTTAATTCCCACTTGGGCCAGTGAGCTGCACCCCAGCTGAGCTGCCGTTGAGCTGCCAACAGGTGGCAGGGTGGCTCAGCTGGTGAGAACACATGCTCCTAACAAGGTTGCCGGTTCGACTCCCGCATGGGATGGTGGGCTACGCCCACTCGCAACTAAGACTGAACACGGCATCTTGAGTTTAGCGGCAGGGATCTGCCGACACGGGCGGCCGGATGGCGAATGTACTTGGAGCTGAGCTGGCTGCGCCCTCCACAACTAAGATCAAAGGACAATAACTTGGCTGTTCTCCTTCCCCAATTCCCCAATAAAATCTTTAAACACAAAACAAAACAAAAAAATAAAAAATAAGCAAATAAATAAAATGTTGCTGTTTTTGACATTCTAAAAATATTAAAGTTAGGCCTTCTTATTATTATACAGGCATGCTCAATCAAGTGTTGTTGACTGTTTTAGTCAACCTGAAGTAAAATCTTAGAACTTTCTATCTAAAAGGAATACTTATAAAGACCAGCACTTTAAAATATTCTTGATTAACAACTAGTTAAATCCAAAAATTTATCACTAATACACATGAAAAGTTCACCATCACCTAGTACCAAATGCTGTTTATCAGTTAACACCCATCTTTGTTAAAAGAGACTGCTGACAACAATAACAAAATGAATAACAATTTTTAAATGGGCAAAGGATTCTAATACTCATTTCTACAAAAGAAGAATGGCCAATAAAGCATATAAAAAATGCTCAACATCATTAGTCATTAAGGAAATGCACATCAAAACCACAAGGAGATACCATTTCACACCCACTAGGCTGGCTATATCAAAAGGATAGACAGTAAGTACTGGCGAGGAGGTGGAGAAAACAAAACCCTCACATTGCTAGTGGGATCACAAAATGGTGCAGCCACTTTTGAAAAGTTGTCTGACAATGTCTCAAAATGTTAAACACAGAGTTATCCTATAACCCACCAATTCTACTCTTAACAATTCCACTCAAGATTACAAAAAACCTATGCCCACATGAAAACCTGCACATAAATGTTCATAGCAGCATCATCTGTAATAGCCAAAAAGTAAATATAATCCAAATGTCCATCAACTGATAAGTGTTTAAGTATAACCATACAATGTAATATTATTCAGTCATAAAAAGGACTTATATATGCTACAACATGGATGAACCTAGAAAACATTCTAAGTGAAAGCCAGTCACAAAAGGCCACATACTGTATAATCCCATTTATATGAACTATCCAGAATAGGCAAAACCATAAAAACAAAAATTAGATTACTGATTGCCAGAGGCTAGGGGGAAAGGGAATGAGGAAATGACTGCTAATGGGTATGGAGTTGCTTTCGGAGGTAATGAAAATGTTCTAAAATTGAACAGTTGTGATGGTTGGACAACTCTGCCACTATAGTGAAAACCACTGAACTTGTACACTTTAAAAGGGTGAATTTTATTGTATGTGAACTATATCTCAATAACATTATTATCTTTTTTAAAAAGACCACTGAATTCTTCGAAAAATTTTACCTGTAAAAGCAACAGGACAAATCATTTTCAAAACAAATTAAAATACCGAAAATGAATATTAATGAAGAATCTATTCAACACATTCAAAACTAAAGTAACTTATCTGACCTCAAGATCCCACATGGACTAAGAAAAGGCCATCAGCCTAAGAATAAATAACAAAGCTGGAGTGAAGGCTGTACTTTGTATGCTGGGTTGTCTTTATTTGCTTGTTGATGTTGTTGCATTCCATGCTTACTTGGCTTTCATCTTCTTTTGCTATTTACTTTTAAAGGAAAACCTGCCCCCCACCACCAAATATATAAAACTAACTCATTAGTCTATACCAGGCTCTTTGGGTATGTTCTGTCTCAAAAGTTTGCCAACTCCTAGAAGAGCCAATCCTGTCCCTCACAACAATTTAAAAATTATTCGAGATTCATAAATATATTTTTACAAATAAGGAAAATTTAAAGTAATATTATAAATGAAACTATGATAGTTTTATTTTCACTTTCAATTTTACTTCAGAGCCACATGTACACACCCAAAGAACCACATGTGACTCACGAGCCGCAGTTTGCCGACCACTGGCGGCTCTTCCGTCTCAAAAGTTTGCCGAGCCCTGGTCTATGCGAAAACCTACTCTCTTCTGATGACCTTTACTTCTAAAGCATTAATTCCCATTCAATTACCTAGCATTGGCAAGTCTGGTAAATCAACTCTGACCCACCTCTCTCTATCTCCATGTTGTCTCACCAAGTTACACGATTCTTACCTAGTTCATTTCTATCAGCGTCTTCCTTTCTAGTCTCCCTGGCACTGTTGCAGTTTGGGGCCTCCTTAGAATTCATATTAATCACCTGGTATTTATTATGTGCTCCCATCTATTGTTACCTGTTTTACATATATGCCTGACTTGCCAACTAACTATAAGCCCCATGCAGAGAACAAGCAGTTTTTCTTGTATCTTTGAATATTTGGCACATGCCCACATTCAATAAATACATGCTGAAGGTACATGTTCCAGATAACCAAAGATTACCTGCATGGCAGCATTCTGAGTCAGATATATGAATTAGAATCCCAGCTCTCACACTAAGTAGTTTGACAAATTAAATTACTTAAACTCTCTGAACCTAGATTAAAAGGAGAATACATACAGCTCAAATGAGAAAATCTACAGTATACAGTGCCTAACACATAATGCTCAGTAAAAAATAGCTATTGTCTGAATACTAAAATGTTTATTTTAATTGTTTTCAAAAGATATTGTCCTAAAACGCATTACATATTTTTCTGCACTTTCTCCTATTAAAATTTGTCAAAGAAAATTTAGGATGGCAGAGACTGAAGTAAACTACTCATCTGAGGGCTCACAACTCAAACACATGTAATTGAGTTGTCGGAAAAGTCATGACACGTTTTTCTGTTTTTCATTGCAAAAATGCGTCATGACTCTTCCAACAACCCAATAGGAGTCAGGCAAACTTTATAAACGAATAAAAGGTGCCAGGTGTAAATAAAAGTATGGAGGAGTACAACTGCACGCTCACTTAAGTGGGTAGCCACTACTCACTTCTGGTGGAAGTGAAAGTTGAGAATGTAGGCCACCTGCCAGGTCTTCAATGCCCATCTGCGTGTGAAATCTCATTTTTAATTAAGTATTGGCAATTTACTTGTTGGGCAAGAGCAGGAAGAAGAGGGGAGAGAGAAACCACTGTGTATGACAAACAAAACACACCTTCAACTCAAATCTGGCCCAACAGTACCACCAGTTTGAAATCTCTGAATGCTAACTCAGAACAATTTTAATTTCCAGACTGAAAGCTCTAGCAGACAGGGATTGTACTTGTCTTATTCAGCATTATATACCCAATTCCTAGGACATGTACTTGTAAGTGCTCCTTATTATCAAATGAATGCATTTCTGTATGTGTTTTCAGATTCTTTCTAATGCTGTTTCTTTTACCTAAAACATTCAGTTCCATTTTATCCACTTGGTAAGTACTAGTCATTCTTCAAGTGCCATTTAAATGTCTCAATTTCTCCAAGGCTATTCCCTAATACACTATCTCCTCCCCAGCCAATCCTGGAGAATTACTTCCCGGGTCTGTTTACTGTGTGTTTCCTGGTATATTACTTGATCCCTCCCTCAAATTTAAAATACACCCCAGGGCCTGCCGAATGGCGCGATGGTTAAGAACTGGCTTGGGATGCCAGAGGGCCCCGGTTCGGATCCCACATATGAGGGCCAGTGACACTGCCCT